TTATTTTTACAATATTTGTGCTTTATAACAAAAAAAAGTAATAAAAACAGTTACGTAACACCAGATTTGAAGCTAAATATACCGGTTAATTAAATAACAGAAGACCGTATGAATGGACAATTAGTGAAGTTGAAATAATGATATATATATATACTTGAATTACACAATAATTTTAATAAGTGATGTATAAATCATTAACCGGATAAAAAACCTATAGAGTTTAATAGGTCACATTAAGATACAAATGGTAAATTGATCCCTCTTACTTTTCATTTCTAGATAGGGTTAATTGGCTAGAACTTGGGAAATTGATTTTTGTGTGATTGAAAAACACTTGAAAATTTAAAATTCAACACTAAACATATATTGCTTGATATAGAAATTTGGTGATTGTTAGGTCAGTGAGGGAAAAAGAAGTCAAATCTAGGAATTTACCTGTAATATGTAAGTCACTTAGTTCGTCAAATGTTACTCGCTTTGTTCTGCTATAAATATTTTGTAGATAAGTGAATTTGTTTTAAGGTGGGAGTAAATTAACATCAAGACTATGAGTAAGAAACACTAGTTATTTGAGAGTCTGTGGAACACATTAATACATGAGTCAATATATAATACTAACACATGTAACTAAATCTAAAACATCCTTCCATCTGAACAATTCACTGGCACTGTTAAACAATTAAATTGTCAAAATACGAAAAAGAGTAAAATTTCTACTGCTGTCATATAAAATAAAAGTTTAACATACCTATCCCTAGCTCCAAAAAATTAGTTTTGTATGTATTAAATAAAATATCAACAGGAGATTTAAAAACATAATTTTACTAACAATAAAATTGAAAATGTAGTATACCAACAATGTAAAATCCTATGAAGAAGAAGTCCTAAATCTGCAAAATAATTGTTCCAAGTTGAATTATTGTTTATTAATAATGATAAATGTTAAAAAAAACCAATAACCATTATAATAGCTCACATAGATCTACTGATTGGGCTAATCTCAAGAAGATGAAGATTAATGTGTGTATGATAACACGTCTATTAATTACTTTCAACTATTTATAAAAATTCAAATATCTATGGTCTAAGTGGATGACCATATCATACTCCATGGTGGCTTTTTATCACGGAGGGTCAGTCATATTATGACTAGCTCAAATATGTCCGTACTACTGTCATTTTTATACATGGATGTCAACCTTATAAGCAACACACAGACTCGGTGTATTCCCCTTTGGTTCTATCCACTTATTATAGATGATGATTAAATATAATTTACGATTAGATCGTACATATACTCTTGAACTGCACATTAGTCTGCTTATATAACTTGGGTTTGTTTGGTGAAGTCAGGTTATTTTGTTTTATTTCCTTTGTGTGAAAATAGTACTTTAAAAAGGTGTTACAGTTAGTAAAATGTATTAAAATGAAGTTCACAGACTTCTAAATAAAAAATAATCAATTAAAAATGCAATAATCAAATATGTAATCCACAAAAACAACAACCTGCTATTTGATAGTAAGTTAATTAAATAAATCAAACAAGGTATGAACCTATTCAAGTGAGTACACCTAGGCCCCCGAATGCCCTGGTACGGTCGAGAGTGAGGAGAGTTAGTTCAACTTTTCCAGATGCTCTCACATGGCCACGTGCATATAACCACTACCAGGGAATTCATGCTCACTACCTCCTCGCGGCAGCGGTGTTATTTACGAAATCGAGAGGACGAAAAGCAAATTCCTGGCTCTTTAACAGGGTTGGTGGACACAGGAGTTGGGGAACCCTGATTCCAAACCAATAGTGCTCATGGGCTCCAGGATCCTAAGGAAACGAATGGTATATTAACCTATTGTTGGTCACCGGTTACCTTTGAACTGGATCTCTTGATGTTGCTCCACTGCCTTGTGGATTAAAACTCTAGGTCAAAGGCTCGGGATGTGGCCTCTTAAAAAAACCATCTGCTTCGGCCTGGGCGCCCGAACAGTATCTCAGCCCTCACACAAATCAAATTATTTATGTGGTACACATCTGTTTGGTGCCTCCTTGTATCAATGTTTATGTGTTTAAATAAATGAGTGGAGTAGACCTAAAGCGACTGGTAATCAAATTAGGCTAAAATATAAAGCTCGTTGTTAAGAACACGACAATATTATCCTTTTAGTAGTACTACCACAATACGTTATGGTAAGTTCATCATTCATAATATGGGAATAATTGTTTGTTTTTTCAGTCTATCACTTAACACAGCTTCGATAAAATCTGGAATTAGATGTTAGTGATGCTACAGCTTAAAAAACTACGTGATGTTCGAATTAAATTACCGATCGAAAAGTATAAATTAGCCGAAAACTTACGAAACGTAGTTACCTCTGAAGTAATTAGTTTTTTTGGAAAAAACGATGTAAAATTCTCTCTAATAAAACTAAAAACGATAAAATCTAAATAAACTTGATATCGTTTCTAAATTAAGGGGTTACTTTAGTTTAAATAACTACATAACCTAGATAAAATACCGGGGCCGGACATATTGTTGCTTTAACTCACTAAACTTAATAACTATTTTGAAATTTGCTCAGGCATACAACGAAAGATTTCTCGTATTTTTACTTAGCAGGGATACATAACTAACTTAGTTACACATTGAGAACTATTTCAAAATCTATATTGTAGAAATATTCGCAGCCACTCAGACATAGACTCTTCTGCTTGTCTAAATTTACAATATACTGTTCCGTAACGGAAGTTGAAAAACACTTGTTTATGGGCAAATTAAGGAAACTGTAGCAAATAGCTCCTTAAAATAAACGGATTTATAAACATCTAGTGATCATAGTTTCCTTGTTAGTTTCACTAAGCATAACTAGTCGAAGGCATTTGAACAAGAAAAACCAGAATCTACTGAAACAATTTTCTCTAACTATTTTAAAAGCCTATCATTTCTATAGCTCTACCTGCAATCAAATACACTGATCCTTTCAGCAGCTGTGGTCTGTTTCCTCGTTTATCTCTAAATCAGTCGTCGTGTGATACATGGAAATCATAAATATTTGATCCCGTTATATCCAGTATGTCATTAACCGATATGTTCTTACCACTCATTTAATTATTGATGCATTTCGAAACCTATATAGTGAAAACTTGTATTTTTTAAACCACGATCGTTCTTATGCTAATTTATTAGGTCTTCTTTTTAAAGAATGACAGACAACGTGCGCTAGTTCTTCAAGTCTGTTGTTTGGGGTTTATTTTTATATATTAAAATATAGCCCAATGGTTAATTTGCTTCAGATAAACAGCCAAAACATTTGTTGCTTTGTTTTTCGATTTATATTGAAGGCATTTCAAATAACTTGATTCCATTACTAATGACGATTTTTCAAACTGATTAACTAATTGAAACTATGACGCATTCTAAACCCTACACTGATTATTTCTAGTTGCGATCACTGGACTGTCCTAATTATACACTTGTGTTAATTTTTACTAGTTACTTTTATTAATAAAAAGTAAGTGCATGTCATGTGCTTGTTGAATCGATAACTCTAAATTGTTGTGCGTTCTCTCAGATTATAAAATAGGTGTCTCTTAGGGTAGTACTTCATCACAACGTACCTCTAGATTAGATGTGAATCAACAAAAACCTGAACGTAGTATAATCTATAAGGGGTTAGACTAACTATCGACACGTTAGTCTAATCGGTGCAGTTGTCAAACTAATTGAAAAATTTATTAAAATGGTTGTTATTAGCTATGTGAAATGGTATGGCTTTCTATCCAGGAAACAATATGGTTTTCAGAAAGGTCTATCATGTTTGACAAATCTCACTGCATAGGAAGATTGGGCTGCTGCAAAAGATCAAAATATTCCTGTAGATGTGATTTTCATAGATCTAAGTCAAGTCTTTGATAAAGTCTTCCATTTTGGTCTTAAATTAAAACTGGAAAGTTTTGAAATCCATTACACGGTCACAGACTTAATAAGTGATTTTCTCTATGACAGGAAACAAAGGGTAAGGGTAAATGGGGCTCTCTTATCGTGGGAACCTGTAAAACGTGGAGTTCCACAAGGCACAATCCTCGGTTGAATAAATTTTTAGATTATTATACCAAAATTTCATGACACCGCATTTAGAATATGGGATTCAAGAGCGAGTCCTTATTTCAACAATGGGACAGATATGCTGGTACGAGTCCAACGATGAGGGACTAAAATGATATAAGGTCTCTCTGGTCTATCTTATGAAAGTAGACTGAGACAGTTCAACCTATTTCCTTTATTTTACCGTACAACACGGGGTAGCCTAATATTGGCTAATAGTATACTGAACAATGACCTTGGTATTAATATGTCTCATCTTTTCCTTCCTCCCATGACTGATCATTTGAGAGGTCATTCCAAGTTCAAAACCCGGAGTCAAATCGTCTACGTCTGGAGTTTCGTTTCTCGTACCGAGTGGTAAGCCACTTGAATTCTTTACCGGAACACGTCATCACAGCACCTTCTGTTGATATATTCAAGATGAGATTGGACCTTCACAGTTTTACAAACTTCAAGAATTAAGATAAGTCGATAGGTATCCTACCCATATTACTGAAGACCGAATGATGGCTAAATTTAATTTCAGAGGCTAAACCACATAACGCTTCTGAAAACACAACACTCTCAGCATTTCAGCCTGAATCGTCCTAAAGATGTCTGATGTCAGGGAAAAAATTACAATTAATTTTAACCAATTAAAGGTTCAGTATCCAAGGCATCAAAAAGCTAATGGATAAACAGTGATGAACTTATGCAGCTTAAAATCATCAGGCTCCTCAAAAGCTGAATACATTGTAGCGGTAAATAAATCCCCAAAATAAATAGCCCTAAGTTTTCGGTATTGGATGCTTTACCCACTCGCTTTACCCACGTGTTTACAAAAGTTATGAAGCAAAATAAATGACAATTCCAACATTTTAAACATTCCTACTCAGGAATATAAAACAAGGTATGATCTACCTTCTGTATTGTACTCGGATGGATAGGGTCGCTTTTGCTGTATATCTAGCATATTCGAATAATATATCACCTGATGCAGGTAAAACGCGATATCAGTGACTGATCTTAATATATTCCGATTATCGTTTTTAGCTCACATATACATACTATTTGAAAAACGATGCGTTTGTAAAGTACATAATAATGACATGGTAAAACAAATCATGTCTACAAATTTTGACATCTTGTTATCTGTTCAGACAGTGAAAAAACGAAAGTTAAGGTTGGTCACTGTGAACTGAGATTTTGCTTATGAATGATCCTTTTTCGATCAACAAGTTTGGCAGCCTAAATACTACTTGTTAACGCAGTATGTTTCAGGAACTGCTTGGAAGTGAAGCTTGTCGTTCACAAGATAACATTCCTCCTCCAGTTTTAACCTTTATTTTCGAGCCTTTTTATTTTTTTTGCTGTATGGGGAGGGTAAGTTTGTCCTTAATGTCTTGTTCATCTTGTAACTTGATAATCTGAGAAAGAATGGTGAGAATTAATTATATTCTGTAGGTATTTTTGTGTCATCGAATGGTTACCCCAAGGAAGAGACATCAAACGATTCTTTGGAGTCCCTCCTGACGTTCTGAATAGCCTCCCAAACAAAGCCTCTCCTGTGTAGTCCGATTAGTCACTGTGAACATTCCTAACGTCTGACCAAAGAGTTGTGTGGAGAGAAAAATAGTCGAAAAAGATCAAGTGCTACAAGCCAAGTGATCAGATTCGCAGGTCATACGAGTGTGCAGATTAATAGAATAACTAGAACTTGCGGAATGTGAAGAGGTATGACCCTACACCTTATCCTAAAATTACGTTGTCAAACGTTTTGTGGAAGTGTGTGCTTCGGTAAATGTCTGGCGATTGAACCGATTTCGTTGAAATTACAGAGGTCAACACACATCGTTTTGTGGTTGAGCCACGTAAGTTGCATACGTGTGTTTGAAGTTAAAATAGTTCAAGATGTATTTAAAATATCAGCGACGTGATGAAACTACTATTTCACGAGATCATAAGAAATTTTGATTTATGCTATTCTTCATCGACATGAATGACGGACAAATTTTTTCATAATATTTCCGTTGTCTTAATTTATATTATAAACCGGCAGAAAGACTCCAGAATATCACAAACTATATCGATAGAAGCAATGTATCATCTGAATATATGTACAGCTTCAGGTTCAAGGAAGGCGTGTTATAAAGTTGTGCAAAGTTTCTGTCAGATAACCTATTATATTTACCAGCAACGCTTTTAAACATTACGGCACTTCCAGAAATTTTGTCCTAACCAGACCGACCGGCAAAGATTAGGTCGATTCTTCTATAATACTGAAGAGGGTTATTGCTTTGACACAGAAATGTTACAACCTATGAGAAAGGTCGTTGGTCAGTGAACTGCGATGAAGGACTCTTTACATAGATTTTGCTAACCAGGCTTCTCCAATTGCTGATACTGATCTCAACTCATTCTGAAATAAAGCCGTAGACGACCTATAGACAGATAACCCTAACTGGTGTTGACATCGCATCACCGGTGTCGGGTATCGAAAAAAATTCAATAAACCCTTAATTTTTCCTTAACCTCAGACGTTCTACCACAATGAATCTTTCAAGAAACTCTCCTATCGGACCCGTTAACGGCAACAGCAACAGGTAAACGTAGTTGCATGTTAAATGTCGCAACAAATGTTCGTCACTTCGCCGGAATATCGACCTCAAACATTGGTGTGAATGTACGACAACAACAACAACACAATACACTCGATAAATCAATAAACAAAGGTTAGTAGATGGCGATACTAAATTGTCTGTTTTTGGAGTTCTATTTTCTTTATGTAGGTTGTGCCAGTTATAACTTAACATATTGTCGATCCATACTTCCAATCGATGTTTGACAAATATCCTGATTTATAAAAGCAAAACTACAACTTCTGTATAGAACCAGCGATGGTGCACATCACATCGAGACTGCAGGACCACTCCAATTCTTGCAAAGCAAAGACCGGTCAAAAACTAGTTCCGTCACCTCGTACACTTTAGAATTATTGAGTCATCATAAATTCGTGGGTATCACTGTAGAATAGTTTCCAAAAAGGATAACTAGGATTGACATATAGCCACCGATTGTCGATAACTTAGTACCAAAAACGACCCGCGGATGTAACTCGTAATTGTTTATCCGATAATTGATGAACAAATTGAAAACTACGGCTGTCATTTTGAAAATCGACTTGAGTGGGGCTCATAACCGTAATTGTATGTGTGAAAACGACCTGCCTAAAACGGCCCTCATCATTCAGTTTAGAATATGTGGACTTCTGAGCATGCCATTAGATTCAAGAAATGATGCGCAAACTATCCCACGATTTACTGACGACGTATTCGGAATTCTCGATTATGTGTACGCTCATGTTGGTTACTGTTTAATCTCAAGTGCGAACAGAAAACCCTATCTCCAGCATCTCTAACTTGCTTTCTAATGATTGCAAAAATATCGCCAGCAAACGCGATTCGACCATTTATATCTGTCATCAGATCCTCTTGTGGTTTAGTTTATACGCTTTGGTAGATACGACTCATTACACCGCCCCACGGGCCTTGAATATCAAGGATCTTATAAACCTATTCATCCTGCATAGAAGTACTACGTCATTGAGAAGAATGAAACTGCAAACAACATTAATATCGGTAGGCCAAAAACATCTGCTTAGAAAACAATTTCTTCTCTATCAACTTTTTTATTAAAGAAGTGAACAACACAATCCCTTAGATTACAGCACAATCCCCGGGAGTTAACAATTGTGACGAAGCCTATCTGGTAACTGAAAACTGGTCTATTAGGATGCATTCTGAAAAAAGCACGTCAGATCACATCTGGGTATCCCGAGCTAAGAATTACCTACGACCAGTCAGCTCGGACCGTACACACCAAAACATTTCAACGGTCATTCGAATATATATCACGGAACCCCTTCATTCCAAACTTCTGAGTTGGTTGGTTTTGGAAATCTACGGATTAAGCAAAGTTTCTGGTGACAGTGTTGTTAGGTACAATATACCGCCGACATATTTAGTTCAATCGCCACTCTTAACCCAGGGTGGGATGAAGGGCCACCAGGTATACATACCATCGACCATATACGTCCCAAATCTAGGGCTGCGAACAAATAAGACCCATTTTGCTAATTTGATAGTAAACAAGATTTCAGAAAAAAGATATGAATAATATTCTAGGAGTGCCTTCCAAATATAAACGCGTGAAGTTATATAGAAAGCCTTGAGAATTCTGACGATACATATAATTTGTACCTTCGTATGTTGATCGTCGTTGGCGTCACTTAGACTATGGATGTCTGATTTCTTATAGGTATGTACAAATTATTTATATACAACTTATTTATTGTTGGACTTGTGAATCTACATTTCAGATCATTATTCTAGAATATCCGCTACCACAATCTCTGCTGTCTGACTTCTGTGGCCAGGCTCATCATGTCTGATTAACGTCGGAGTCAACTGCATCGAGAGGTAAAATTTTTGTTAACCTATAAACTGCTTGGATATAGCAAGCCAACCAGGCTTTTTAGACATTGTTGCGTTCCTACGGATTGTACATAAATTTGTTTGGTAGGCCGATTGCTGATATTTTCATGTTGGCTGTCGCTCATGAATTACAATGATCCAGTGATCTCTTCTGTCTGGTGGTTAGCGACTTGAGTAAACTTGAAAGGCAAGTAAACAGGTGAACTAGTGTTAAATCCTTGATCTGTCTATTTAGTAATATATAGGAGAGAAATTGTTTCAGTATAGGCCTTGATGCAGTATGCTAACTTGTTCAACCTTGAGGCCAAAGATGCATGAGTTTGAGTTCAGACTAACGTATTTAGGCTGAGAAAAAAGTTCTTCTATCACATGATTGACTAACGAGCGAGCGAGTGAGAGAGATGATCGATCGATCTATTCCTGATTCAGATATGAATAAATATATGACTAACAACGCCACAACACAAAGAATTTGAAAGATACAGTTATCAGTATGGGGTTGTGGATCACCACTGAAAGCTTAGGAGCATTGTATGGCCGTTTCGTCCCATTATGGGACTCCTCAACAGTGTACGTCAATGCTCTCGCAAGCACGGCTCGAACCCAGGAACACCGGGGCATCCCATACTAAGACGAAGAGGCCATCTGGGGATTCCAGGCGGCCAAACATTCATCGATTCATGACCTCAATTAGATGCATCTATCTTCAAACTAAGAAGTATTGTAGAAACATGGATTACATAATGGTATGTTTAAATCAAAATAATTTTGGAATAAGAAAGGATGTGGAATTGAAGAGGGAGATATATTATGAAAACGGTGATCTAGAGTGCTGTTAGAAGTATGAGGGCCGTTATCACTACTCGGTTGACCAGACCATGGAAGGGTCCTCCTGAAGGTGCCTGAAAAGGAAATTGTGTTCAAATCAGCAGTACGACTTGACCCTCAGACTTTGGGTTTGCTACTTTTAGTCTTACTGTTCTTCGACCGACTGTCTGGCCTGGTAGGACCTTGAGGAACGATCGTTCCAGCAGTTATAGCCCTAGTGGTTCATCACGATAGGCAAGCCTGACCACCACATCAAAGTAGCAGCAACAGTTGGAAAACTCTAGGTGACATGGCTTGGAATCGGTCACGATGGCGTAAGTGCATACACTCTCTGTCTCCATTTAAACTGTGAGATTACTTTATACATTTCTTTCTACGATTTGTCTCTTTCTTCTTGTATCATATCATTATATGTCATCTTTTTTATACATCACTACCATTAAAGTAACTAATTCTGTGAATTTGGTGTCTGTTTTATTGTACTTATGATTTATGGCAACATGAACCGATGCACATATGTGCCTGGTCCTACTTCGCAGCTGAATGACTGACTCAGAAAAAGATATAGCAAAAAATCATGAATCAAATGTAAGCTTACAGATTATAGAACAAACTAGGGAAGAAAATAAATGTTGGTGTTTTACAAGCTTAG